ATTTGAGGGTAATTAAAATACTTGTTGCATGGCACTTATGCCTGTGACCTAGTTCTTAGAAACGTGACCTGAAGACACCTTGAACTTTATTTAGGAAACATGATGCTTATATGTGTGTCCTGACATATATATACGTGTCTTGAAACGTAAAAATGTTGGTACTTTCATTCATCTCTTTTACTTCGAACTTCATCTCTGTGATTTGGATTTAATAAATTATTCCTAAACTTCATGCCTATGACCTGAAATATATGACTAATTTGAGGTAGTTTATGGTAATGTAGATACTTGTGGAACGAAGTTTATATCTGTGGCCTAAACCATATATCTGTGACCTGAAATAGATATGTATGTCATGAACTTTATATTCAACCCAACGATATGTGAAATTGATATTCAACTTTGTGATCTGAACTGTATCGGTTTGTATATACTGTACAATATTTTCATCACTATTTGCAGGTATCTCATTCAAATCATAACATGTTTTTAGTTAGTGGTGAATGCTCAACTTTTGTCGTCAATATGAAACAACGTACGTGCACTTGCATGATGTTTCAAGTAGATCTATTACCATGTCCACACACATTGGCTATGATTGTAATGATGAAGATGGATCCATATGATTATTGTTCATATTATTATACAAGAGAAGCATATGTAAATGCATACCAAGATACGATTTTTTCAGTCGAAAATTCAACTGAATGAACAGTGCCTCAAGAAGTACAAAACATCATTGTATTAGCACCAAACCAAAAGATAAGTTAGGATAAACCGAACGAAAAGAGGAAGAGATCATCATCTGAAAGGAAAATAACTGTCAAATGTGGACGTTGTGGTGACAACAGTCACAGCCGCCAATTGTGCAACAGCTTGGTTCCATTAAATTAAAACAAAGCAAGGAAATGAAATGTTTTTTTTTTTGATGTTTCACCTTAGAGGATTGACTGTAACCATTGTTACAACACTTTAAGTTACTGATCATGCATTGCCATTTCAATATCCAGAGAGTCCAAGTCACATATTTCCATCGGTCATTCCAAAGACATTGAAAATATAATGTCAGTAAAATAATACTTGTATGAGGATGTGATATGAGATGGTAATATGAGACCGTGTGTAAATATGTCTGCAACTTGTAGGGACTTATACAATATAAATTGCGACCTATTCAGTAAATAATCTATTGTAATAGTGTTTAAATCCTTACATCTGGGTTGGAAAAGCACTTGGTCCTTCCAGCTTAGCAGCCGATGAGAGATTATCTGCCATCCAATTCCTTATTCGGAGATACACTCTTGTAATCCTTCTAACAACATATCCATCGAGACTAGGAATCATCTCATATGTGCATACTTGACACACTCTCAGTAAACCTCTTAATCTATAATGAGTTGTTCTCTTACTCAACCCCTCTCTCAATGAAGTGATTAATGTGTCGAAAAGTGACTTACCCCATAGAAACATGTTCATCGCATTAAAGTCTTCAACTAGTAGAAACAAGAAGTGATCAACAACCTTCTTGTAATCTCTCAGATATAGATATGAAGTAACAAAATACAATGCCGTAAGCATAGAAACATCCTCATCTGGAATGTCACCCGCAACAAGAAATGCTTTCCTGACATCTTCATGTGTCACAACCCACGATCGAATGAAATATATGTCCTTCAAATGCAACTAAATCTTCTCAAGCCTATTTATATCGCCATTGCCAGAATATCTGAGTCTGGTCACTAAACAAAACTTGGAAACCCCAGATATATTAAACCACATTTTATTTTCGTTGGATTGTTGAACCTGCCTTAATAGGAAATAATTTATCAACTGCGGTTGAACAAAGATTTCATTACATTCCAGAAAGTGGGCAAAACATGTATTCTGAAATATAAGTCGTTGGGCTTCCTTTAGATTCGTTTTGAATTTTGTCAGCACATCCTTTGTGGGGATAATTGTAATTTTACTAAGAAACCAATTATTTTCTGGTATAATGAACCTTCAAACCTGCATATTGGTCACAAAAAAAGAGTTTGATCACAGATGGATGGACATGTCACAAACAACGTAATTTAGTTCAGTACAAATTCAAAAATCAAACAAAAACAAAATCCCTATTTACAGGTCACAACCTCTAAACCTGCATATTGGTCAGAAAAAACAGTTGGTCACAGATGGATGGACATGTCACAAATAGCTTAATTTAGGTCATTTCTAATTCATAAATCAAACAAAAACAAAATCCTGTTTTATGGGTCACACTTTCAAAAAACAATATGCACTCAATNTTTCAAAAAACAATATGCACTCAATACATATGTCA